AAAAAAAAAAAAAAAAAAAAAAAAAATTATCATACTACTTATATTTTTTTCTTTTGTAAAATTTAAAACTTATATTATTAATAATAATGAAAAATAAAAAAGGAAATTAATACGATAAACAAATTAAAAGCAAAAATAGGTAAAAAAAAAAAAAAAAAAAAGAAAAATTTAACTTATATAATGACAAAAGAAGACATAAATTATACTCAATTTCTTTAAAATTTTTTCAAAACATTGGATATAAGGAATAATAATTATAAAATAATAATAATTCAAATTATACTTAAAAAACTATATATATTTCAAATTTTTATCATACATAGTATAAACAATTTATATATCAACTACATTTATTAGATAATAATATAAAAAATTATCTTGTTTTTTTTTTTTTTTTTTTTTTTTTTTTTTTTTTTTTTTTCATTCTTGTATGAAAGTATGAATATATATGCACTATAAATTTTTAAATCTTTTTAGAATCTCTTTATTAACAAAAATTTTTACAAGAAAAAAATAAAATTATACAACATTTATATATATTTTTAAAAGAGTTATGCTTCATTTAAATCTACATATATATATATATATATATATTTTCAATCTTATCTTTTTTGTTAATTTTTTATTATATGGTTAGATTTTATTTATTTCTTTATTTTTAATTAGTGTTGTTCATCCATTTCTTCATTTTTTTCTTTTTTCAATCTTATATTCATTTCATCATTTGTTTCTTCATTTTTTTCTTTCAAATTCTCATTAATATCTTCTACTATTTTCTCATTTATTTTTTCATTCATATCTATGTTGATTTTTTTTTTATGATATATTTTTTCATTGTCCTCTTCATAGTTTGAATTATCATCTTTTTCTTTTTTAAATTCTCTTTCAAAATTATATGCTTTTTCATAATCAGGGTTATCAAAAAATTCATTATGATTGAAATTGTTTGAATCGGAATTATCTTCATACATATCATCTTCATCATATTCATCTTCATCATCCGTATTTTTATTAGTGAAACTAGGATTTTTATTAATTTGATCAATGTATGAATTATCACTATTTAAATTATTCATTTCATTATTTAGTAAATTAAACATATGCTGATCAGTGTCATGAATTGAATTAGGGTTTTTATAAGCATTATTTGAAAAATGTACTATTTTTATAGAACGTCTAGCATTATTATTTTTATCATCTAGATTAATAAAAAAGGGATTTGAATTAGTATTATTACTAATCATATCTAATATAGATAAATGTTTAATAAAATCAACTACATTAAAATCTTTTGGTTCAAATTTTTCTAACAGAATTACATTCCAAAGTAAGCATAAATGTGAGCTTCTATTTTTGCTTATTTCTAACAATGTACATTCAAATTCAATAAAATCATTTTTTTGCAAATTTTCAATTTGTGAAATTAATGAATTGTTAAAAAGTGCTCGTATATCTGGTTTATCATATCTGTATTCTGATGGATTCATTCTTATAAATAAAGAATTACTATTAAAAAAACCTTCTTTTATATGATGAAAACGTCCTCTCCATATTATAGTATTACCGTAATATTTCTCCTTAAAATTATGAATACTATAAAATTTATTTCTGAATTGAGATTTATTACCACAATCTTCTAGATATTCTATCCATGATGCTTTTATATATGGTCCTTTTGCCAAATTATCTAAATTGAAATCACTTGTTTTTCTTATAATGTAAAATAGAAATATAAGAAAAACTAAAGACAAAAATAATATCAAATATTTTACTGATATAATAATGGCACATTTAGGAAATTGAAAAGTTAATATTTGATTTTCCTTCTTTATTTTAAATATTTTTTCTGGAGATGTTATCTTTTTTTTGCACAAGGGGCAAGAATATTTTTTTTGTTTAAAAGTTAAATATAAAAGTGGTAATAAAAAAATTGTAAAAAAAGAAATAAAAATAAACAATAATAAAACTATTATATAAACGAACATTGGTGTATATTTTTCAACTATTGGATATACATGTTTATTGCAAAAGTTACAATTTAAAACTTCTTTCACTTCATTTAAATCATTTTCTGTTTGATTATTTTCATTTTCATTATGAACATTATCATTTATATTCAAATCATTCATTTCATGCTGTAATACATTCATCTCAGTTAATTTATTTTTCCCATTTAAATCATAGTCATTCATTTTTCATAAATTTTAATTTAAAAAATAATTTTGAGAATATATTATATATACATATATGTATATATATATATTTATTTTATGTTATTTATGAAAAGAATATCATTATAAAATGTTAAAAGTGATACTCATGATTTTTTTTTTGTATATCCAATTTTCTTAAAAAGTATTATATATTTAAAAAAAAAAGAATAATAATAACAAAAAAAGAAAAATATAAAAAAGATAAAAAGGTAATTAAAAAACAAAAAAAGAAAAAGAAAGGGAAAAAATGATAAAAAAACCAAAAAAAAAAAAAAAAAGAGGAAANAAAAAAAAAAAAAAAATATATATATATATATATATAAAAAAAAAAAAAAAAAAAAAAAAAAAAAAAAAAAAAAAAAAAAAAAGAAAAAAAAAAAAAAATATATAAATATATAAAAAAAAAAAAAAAAAAAAAAAAAAAAAAGCTAAAATTTAAATTTTTAAAATAAAAATAAAATCAAACATAAAAAATATAATTACAATCTATATGAGTATATAAAATTAAAGTGGATTTCTAAATAAAATAAATTATATCATAAATAGTGAATTATATGGATATATTTACAAATTTATCATGTAAAAATGAAAAATATAAAAATATAATTTTTTAAAAAGTTATATGTAGAAGTTAAAATAATTTACTTATTTTTACATTTAATAATAATATATATTCTTCTCTGAATATTTAAATAAATTATCTTTAAGTGTTTTCATTCCAAATGAATAAAAATACAAAAAATATAAGAAAAATTTTATTATAATTTTTTTTAGATTTTTAAAATTTTGTTCTATAGATGAAAATATTCCTTAAATTATATCTTAATAATGTTCAAATTTTTATAAGCAAAAAAAAAAAAAAAAAATAATAAAAATATATCGTTTTATTTTTTTCCATAATACAAATAGATATATTTATTTATCTTTATTTTTCTCATTTTTATTTCATTTTTTTTTTTTTATTGTAAAAATTTATTCTTTTAAAATTAATATCTACAAAAAGAAATAAATTGCTTTTTTATATTTCAAGATGTCTTAATTTTAACTATTTTTCACATTTTATTTTTTTCTTCAAATTGTCAATATTAATATAATACACTTCATACTTAGAAAAAAATTATGTAATAAAGTTAAATGATAAAACAAAAAGATTAAAATATAATATATTTAAGTATTTCATATATATAAATTTATTTTATTTTTTTTCAATTTTTGCATTTTAAAATAGAAACATTTAAAATGCACTTAATTTATAAAAAAGACAAAAACAATTAAAAATTTAAGTCATTTAAAATTTAATTATTATAGGATTATTAAGTTAAAATTTATTAAAAAGAATTTATAAAATTAATTCTTACAATTATACATTTTTTAATATGATGAGTATTTGTCAAATAATGATATTATAGAGAAAGATAAAACTTTCATTATTTTTTTTATCTTAGAAACATATAACAAAAAAATTAATATAAAAAGTAAATATAATAATAATTGAAAACAATAGATCCTTATGAATGTATCACTTTTTATTCACATTTGAACTTTTTTTTTTTTTTTTTTT